AGAGGTTTTGATGGAACTACAAGTGTATGTGATGCTCTAACAGAGATCAACATAAGAGATTGAGACCAAGAACATATGAGAAAGTGCAAAAGTTTATTGCTGGTGAGAGAGAGAGAGGTAGCTGACGTGATGAGTGCTGTCGAGAAGGAAGAAGAACTGCAAAAGAGACCCGATCTGGGCACATCAACATCAACAATAATCTATGAAACTAAAATCTCAAGCTAGGGAACCATCAATAAAATCAGATCACACGAGGAAGATAACCACACGAGATAGCACCGTGCAAATGCCGTGTGAAGCCCATTAGAGATTGGGTGCATTTGCAAGAAAATGGTGATTGCGGGAGTACACCTCATGAATGGCTTGGGATGAAAATGTCCTTGTTGAGGACGACCTCTGACGAAAGTAATTGGGGCGCCATACGTCGACTAGGTGGTATGAATGAAGTGCAAATAAGGTAGTGTCGTAACGGTGGGGGCGACAAAGCTTGATGAAGGCATCGACAATTCCAATGTTGCTAATGCCTAGAGTTGTTGAGTACATTAACGTTTTTGGCTCAAATTAAACTTGAAAATTTTGATTCCAGTTTGACTTAAGATCAAAATCATTCAAGTTAAATTGAAATTAATTATGTTACTAATGAAATTTTGGATCTTCTGTCATACTGCCTACTATATATTTTATGAAAATATTTGGTTCAAGTTTACTCGAAATGTATTTAAGGAAGTTTAAAAAACTCAAAATCGACTTCAAATCCGGTTTGAGTTTGGGGGCAGAGCTCAAAATAAACTTCATTTAAATTTGTGTAACAATGGAGTTTCAATTTTTTTTAGTCATATTATTACCTATTTTGTATACATTGTGAATCCTCACATAATTGAACCTATTAAAATCTACATGCTCATTTTGAGTCCTCTCAATGTATATTCTTTCTTAGGTGTTTTGGGAGATGTAAATCATGAAAATTGTTTCAAGAAATCTAAAGAAAATATTCAAGAAAAAGCGCAAAAGAACAAGAAAATCACAAAAACCAGGAGATTTAACGTGGAAAAACTCACACAAAACAAGAAAATTGCAGAAAACACAAGAGATTTAATGTGGAAAAACTCGAGAACAGGAAAAAAATCACATTTCGACATCACGTCAAGAAATCCACTATGAGTAAGATGAGGAGAATCATATAGTTTGAAATACACTCAAGCCTCTTCACAATTTGGAACACTCGAGGACACTCCTCTCCTCTCTTTTGCACAATAAAATTTGAAATCATAACACATCCTTCTTAACAAAACCAAAACTTTAAGTGGAAAATTGCCAAAGGTCAGTTACTATTGCTCGAGCACCGTGATGCTCTAAAGGGCGCTGCAGTGTCGTACTTTTGGGTTCTGAATCTGGATTGGGTATGGCGGTGCTGTCATTCAGTCGCTTGGGAACTGTTGGCTCGTTAGGGCGATATTGGTATGGCGTCGAGGAACTTTTTCCCTTTTTCAGAGCACTTGGGTGCTAACTAGTTGGCCAGGTTGTCTTTTTGCTCTTTTTGGCACCCTCCCCCTTCAAGTTGGATCAAAATGAATGTTGATGGTTTGCAACTTTCAGGTGCGGCGGGTGTTGGGATCATTATTCGGAATGAAAGGAGGAGCTAATCAAGGCATCCATGTGACAACAACTTATCCATTGGGATAGTGCTATGGTGGAGATGATTGTGGTCTCCTCTCTTTGTCAATTTTTCGAGGATTGGATGGGTGAATGCAAAGGACTTATTATAGAAAGTGACAATTCCATTGTCATGGACTATTTTAGGAACAACTTGGACAAGCGACAATGCAGGCAACCGACTTCCGTTAATCCAAATTTTGGCTTCTTGCTCATATTTAAGCAAGTCAATTTTCACATATGTTCAAGAGCAAAGACAACACAACTAATATTGGTGTCAAAATGGCTATAGATAGGGATTTTATTTTGATTAAAGTAAGTAATATAGATACTCTCTTTTTGGCTTGTCAAGAGGATAGGGTTCATTTTATTCATGCCCAAGGGGTATAGTTTCTACATATTTTGTAAACCTTTTGTTTTAACTTATTGCGATCTGCATATTTCAAGGGAAAAATTAGCAGTTATATATATATATA